ATGGAAAGTAGTTTAATTCTATACATAAGTTACAGTACTTATGCAGAATGAGTCTAAGTTCAATGATAAAATTTATCATCAATTAAAAGAAGAAGAAATTGCAGGCAGTCCTATTGGACTATAACTGATGATATGTCTATGTAGAAATTATAATTTATTTTAAACTGTATCAGCTGACTTCGTTTAAATTGTAGGCGCGTAGATGAATGTGGTTAAGCACAAGGAATATATTTACAACGAAACCTAGAATCAGTTTTTTTTCTAGAACAATCAGTTCTTTTGACTTGTATTTATTTTTAACTCACTGCCTAATCTTTATCTAGAATACAAAGTTGACCAAATCAATAACCAGGTCGTGTTTACTGAAATATTAACTAAAAATTTGAAAATGAATATATTTTTAAGACAAAAGCAGACTGGAATGAAAAACATATCACTTTTGTACATGTCAACGAAATTATACCATACATTAGAGAAAAATAAGGTTCTCAAGAAGTGTGATATTAAATCAAATAAGCAACAGCAAAATAAATACAATTCTAGTTTTACTGGTGTTCTTTTTATGTTAAGTATTGTTGGTGGAAATATTGAGTTTGCAACTTATTTCCTGGGAATTCATATTAATGACTATAAACCAGAGTATAATAGTTCAGTTTTGTAGCTACTGAAAACATTATTGAGACAGTGAAAAACATTTTCAGAATCTAGATTTTAGAGATATTGTGTTCTGTAAACTAAATGGTTTACTCGTGGAGCTGCAATAACAGAAGAATCTTCTATTCAGTCGTAAATAAATTCTAATAACTCACTTCTTAGCCAAGTGTGTACTGATGATTCTGTCGAAAACGACGTTCGAAGCTACACATTTAAACTATCCAGCTCAGAAAATAAAAACACTTAAAAGACAAATACCTAAACATAATAATTACAATGAACTTTTATATAATTTGATTAGTTAATTTACGACGGTTTTCGTATATTTTAAGCTTGAACTAACATCAAGTGGAAATCTTGACCTGAAGTCAATCAAATTTTTAAAAAAACCGTAGCATATTGTTCAGACTGGGTTTACGATCATGTTATAAGGAAAATTGATTGGAATCAGAAATGTAAACCGGCGGATCTTGACATAACAGCTTACAAATATTGTGTTAATGGTTTAACTTTTCATTGAATCTAATTAGTCCATAACTGAAACAACCAAGCTGTCTATTTTTATTCTTTGATCTTTATCAATTATCCGAATGATGTCGGTTTTTCCATAGAAAAATAAATATTAAATCTTATTTAATTTAGATTTCGATAGACTAAATGCTTTATAAAATAAAAGGAAATTATAAATCTGATGTAATCTATAACAAAACTATTACACATATTGAGCGACACAACGACCATTGTCTTTAGTGAGTTACTATCTGACAACAGACCCAATTGAACTACATTGTTAACGGCTTCTCACTAGAATTCCAGGAAATACCTCTTGAAGCCAATCACTAGTGAGCATATGTTGATTAATATCAGAATAGGTTTGGTGGATATTTTAGTAATTTTAATAGCTGAGATAATGAGTCAATTGAAGCTAGACCATCATGGAAAACATGGGAGCATTGGACGGCCGTTTCGTTCGAGAATGGGACTCCTCAGCAATGCGCATCCACGATCCGTCACACGGGACTCCGTAAAACGCCAGTTCTGATCTTATCATGTGTCTACTAGTGACTGGCTTGACGACTAATTTCATTGAGTTCTTTTCAGAAGCCGTGATCAGTGGAGTTCAACTGTGTCTGTTGTGAGGCCATTACTCACTGAAGACAATGGTGTACGGTAGCGCAACATCGTGGATGAGCTGAAGTTTGATATTAGCACCGTTAGATGCCGGTGATTATTCTATGAATCTACCAATGAAAATGAGTAATATCGAGATAACAAGGATAATCGTTTACTGTTTATAAAACCAATGAAGATCAAATAAATTTACTTGACGATAAAATTGTATAAACCAAATAAGATTAACAACTATACAAAATTTAACAACTGAGTGGAGAAGATTTGTAGCTCAGGTGGATGATTTTGGTGGAGTTTTGTTCTCTGAGCTGGATGGTTTGGTCGTGGAGTTTATCTAAAACTATGAATGTTTATTCAATGACGTTATCAGATGAAGCAATTCAGTATAAGTAAAGGTCTTTATTTTACGTTTCATTTGAATATTACACTAAATTTAACATTGAATTGATCACTTTAAAATGTAATTTTATCACTTTATATTCATTTGTGAAATAGAAAGGATGAGACAATAAATTTTTGGACGACCTTAGAGTGACTCTAAAGTGACCTTGATGGTGTCTACCTATTTACTAGGGCTAACTGAGGGTTATAAAGCAGCTTGAAGAATGAGGATTATGATTCACAGTTGACGGTTAGGGTAAGAAATCAGATTTACGATTTTTCATCACGAACTGACAACGGCTAAAACGCCAAGATGTTATTTGGACAAATGGGTGAGTGAATTTCGCGCCAAAATCCAAGACCTGTTATACTAAATTTCGTACATGAATATGTTTTACGACTAATTTAACAACGAGCTTTTTGTGGATATTATAGTAATTTTAATGATTGAGATCATGAGTCCAATGAAGCTAGACCACCATGGAAAACCTGGAAGTCCCAGTGCGTATCCACAATCACGCCTTGCGGGGTTCGGACTCAGAACCTCTCAGTCTGGCGCACGGATGATTAACCTCTAGACCACTGAGCCGACATTTAGCGGTTTTAATGTCGAACTTCAACCAATCCACGAAATTGCATCACCGTCCACCGTTGTCTTCAGTGAGTTACTGTCTCACAACGAAGCCGGTTGAACTCCACTGGTCACGGCTTCTCACTAGAACTCCAGGAAATACCTCTTGAAGCCAACTAATTGCATGCTAGATTGAATTGACTACTGTTAGCTAGGTTGAGATGACAGTTTATTTCCTTAGTTATTACTTCAGTATTTTGTGTGGACTATTTCATTAATATATACAAACATATAGATAGAAAATTCTGAAATGATAAATTTCCATATTGAATTACACCAAGAAAATGTAAGTTATCTTACTTCATTGTTAGTTTAATCAATGGAATATCAACTATTGTTGTGTAAATTTATCAATGCTATAGCATAATCTTAATGAATTTGACCGAATGACGGAATTATAATTGTGAATAAACGTTTATTTCTCTATGACACATATATTTATATTGAAAAATTCTATTCAAAGTTTTCAGTTTTGTTCAAGATGACTTTTTTCAGGCTGGAAGTAGTCAAGGAATTCTTTTTGAATTAGGTAGAAATTATGACATATTGGGACTGATATTTATTGCAACAAAAACGTATACTGGTTTTCATATTCTCTATCCAATTGCTTTCTCAATTTCTGTAAGAACTTATCAATCTGTAGATGTTACAAGCAATAAATTAACGTGAGAAGCCTAAAGTTCACAGGTTGGTAAATGACCTACTAAACTTCAGTATAATAATAATTAGTCATTAATATGAATTTCAAACATATTTAGTGTGATAAAATTGGATAAAGGTGTGTAACTTGTAGCATAGGGAGAGTTATTGTTACTGATTTATTTTAACGTTTGACATTCCTTCATTGTGCATTACATGAAGAAATCCAGAATTTTAAATAATTACAAATCTGCCACAATCGCGTAAAGCGATCTACTGTCCATCCATGACCCAAATAGTATCTTTCGTTATAACAGTAAAATAAAATCCGGTTGACTAGTGATTTAATAATTTGTGTAGTACAAAAACGTTTAATATATATAGCTATAAATCTGTGAAAACTTTTATCAATCCTCAACCATTAGTTTGAAGTATAACACATATAAATATTTTTGGATAGAAATTAAAAAGGGGAAACAGGTGAGATGCAAGTCTCCTTACAATCTATTTAAAATGTGATAAGTAGTCAGTCGATTATTTAAAAATATAGGAGTTCAAAAATTATATGTATCTAACCATATTACCAAAATCTACGTCACCACAACATTAAGCAGTTAACAGGATTAAGGTCAATCATAGTAAAACTAGTGTTGATGATAGTACAAGATCAGAGGGATACATCATAATTCTAAAAATTAAGTACAGTTTATGAATGAGATTTGCAAATCATCAACATCGAGAACTAGCAAAATATAAAGAGTGAATACATCTACACTAAGAAACGTTGTTCTAACCTATTTCATTTATACCTAGTGATCTACTGTCACACACTAGGCAGACTAATGGTTGGTGAGTAAAGTGACTAGTTTCATGTTCTACTTTACCATTCCTAACCCTTATGTACTGTACATCTACGTAATTCACTAGTTCAAATCAACATATGGAATGAATGGCCATGGTTAACTGACTTCTTAACCAGTTCAGTCAATATGAGATCTAGTGCTCATCAACTTGTTAATAATCTCTATCTACAAGGTAATTCAGACCTAAACACACTACTACTTAATTAAAGATCCTCCAATATATGATCAACGCCTTGAGCACATATCTTACCGTATAATGGTATCGTAGATATATTCACTACTTTTTGGTTCCATATATCACAGCGATAAAATAATGCAAAACAAACAACCGATTACTGTATAAGACTTTCGATAATCTAACAAAACTCTTCCTTGATTATGAAACAAACAACCAAAAAAAAACACGAAATCTCCTAATATTTCATTTTTTGTTCTTATAAAGGGTATCGAAAATGTATTTGGTGAAAATTTAAAAAAAAACGTTTTTTTTTAGCTTGAAAAAGAACAATCAATTTATCTATATATATGTACACATATAATGAAAAAAGTTTTCTAAATAAAAAGGAAATCTTTTTCTTTAAAAACAATTGAACAAAGATAAATTGTTGAAAGCAATTACAATAACGAACAACATTATAAATGATCAAATAATAAAATTATTTAAAAAAAAAAAAAAACAACAACAACACAACTTCACTGACCTGAATGATTGATCTAATTTAGATGTTGTTTCAGTGTTTAAAATAGATTTAAATGAAGATGAATGCTTATTCAAGTGTATTAGTTGATTATTATTATTATTATTATCATTATCATTACTTTTATTACTAATATTATCATTATTATTAGTAGTAGTATTAGCTTTATTTAAGATAAATGGCTTTGGAAAATAATTATATTGTTGTTCAGTGTAATTATTTGTATGTGAAATCATTTGTGACCTAATAATAATAATATTAATATTATTGATGATAATAATAATAATAATGAATAATTATTGATTTTTAAATGAAAAAGATTATTTTTTTATAAAAAAAGTTTTTGGGTAATAAAACAAAAGTTACTATGTGAAATGTTAATTTTTTTTGTTGAAAAATTGAACTTTCAAAATAAAAATTTATGATATTCATATTAATTTTCTTTATTATTTTTGCAATATTTAAAAAAAAAAGAAAAAAAAGAAAGTTTAAAAGATAAATTAAAAAAGTTAGTTAAAATTCAATATTAAATAATAATGATAATGAGTATAAAGATAACTAGTTATTTAGTTTACTGTTAATTATGTAATTAATCAATAAATTAATTAATTAATTAACTAGTTAATTGTTAAATTCGGTTCTGATGGAAACATTCTACATTGACTATTGTATTTCAATTGATTATTTCCAAAATATTCACTAGGTATAAATTTGATTCTATTGAAAAAGTGTAGGAAAAAAAACAAACAAAAAAGAAGGCAGGTGAATAAACAATGAATTATGATTAATTTTTAATGAAATTGCAAATTTAATCAAAAAAATCTTGAAAGAACTAATTTGGATATAAATTATAGCACAGTGTTGACTTCATTATTGACGATGATGAATGATGGATTGTATTAATTAATTATATTAATACATTATAAGTACCACAGTTAAATACTAATATTTTAGAAATGTATATTTTATACGAATAAAATATATAGCGTTAAAGCTCATCAATACAATATCTATGTGATTCCATTTTTAATAGGTATATATGAAATACAAACAAGTAGATAGACACATTTATACCTTACTATGCATATGAATAATTAACAAAACCAAATATACAAAAATAACTGGTAATATCAAAATAAGTCATCTATCTATGAACTAGAATAAGCTCATTATACCATTATAACTCATACGATGGAATGAAAAGTCAAAATTCGATTGATTTACTAATTATGATTCTTACTTAACATTACTACCGTTTTGATTCAATGTGATGATTATTCAGTATATAGTTGTTTTCTTGTATGATATTTTACTCTATATATGTTATTCTTCTATTCAGTTGACATGACCTATCCTTAGTTTATGATTTGTTATAACTGAGTATTTTTCATATATGTGACTTCATCTTAATTATTAATCATCAAAGTGTGTGTACAATCAATATGTAAGTGAGTGTATTTTCGAATAGAGTTGTCGTCGTCGTGTTTTGGGGTTAATAAATCTTCACTTATACCAGTCTTTGTGTTCTTACTTTCGCGTCGTGTGAATTGTAGAGGTCCACCGTTTCGAGTATAATTAATAAGCGTTTCCGACACAACAATCAGCGACGACCAGATATAACAAGTAGCATTCAACTGACTAACAATAACATAGTAGCCACTACAATAGATTCGATGAAATAAATGATATTTTCAAATGGTTATTACATTTATTTCCATGTCGTTTTGTTCATGGTTGTAAAAATATTGATAAATTTATACATAACTTATTTAAAATGATTCTTTGAAAACATTTTTCATTATATCATATACAGTTTAAATAATGAAATTACACCATAATGTTAATTGTCTTTTCTCATTAAATCGTATCAGGCAATGTATCAAACTAATGAATCTCAGATTCCTAGTGAATTAATCTAAAGAGTCATGATATATTGACAAGTACTAACTAAATATTCTTACATTAAGTTCTACGGTATGACTTTTTAATTTTTCTAGCCAGTATTTATGTTACGAAGTAACGCTACTAATTAAAATGCGATGAAGTAAAGGGGACTCAGATTGACAGTAAACTTTTTTGAATTTAATTATATGCAAATTCATACTATGTATCACTCTATTGCTACACTCTTCATGATATTTCACGGTTGATCATATATATTCAGTGCAACTTAAGTGGCACAAATGTATTATCGTATTTATATATATAATTTATACATGTAATAATGTTAGTTCAAAACATTTATATAATATTGTATTCGATCGTTGAGATGAGAGTATTTATATTTGATAATTACATTGAGTTAAAATTTCGCCATCTTCCAAAACATTACTGCAGTATTGTTGGGAAAACTAAGGTTGCTTGAAAAACTATACTATAAAATACTAACTTCAGTTACCACAATTATATTAACAAATTTCATTTACATTAATTGTTAGCTATAAACAGTTATAACTGGTATTCAACGCCATTTCTGAACCAGACATTTGAAAGAAAGAAAGTATTAGGTGTGCTGACTTAAAATATTTTGTTCAGTAATACATAGACTATGAGATAGGTGAGTTATTGATAAGCACATTAACAAATAACTGATTAAACTTAATATCACCATTTTAACAACTAGGTTCATTAAAACAACACAATTATGTTTTTATTCAACTTGAATACAATAAATAGTATTTCACAAAAAAACTATAAAAATAAATTTATTGAAGCCATTGTAGACTTATAACTTACTTGATTCAAACAATATAACCCAAATTCAAATATGCTCTTGTAATATTATACTTTTCATTTAAATCTTAATTCAAGTGAGTAAGCAGATGGATTCGACTTTACACAGTTAATATGACATTCATTTCAAGTTGTTGGAAAATTTGATGTAAATGAAAAATTTAATAAATGTACATACAAATACAAATGTATTTCATTCAAAATAAGTTAACTTTGTAATAGGATATTACAAAACAAGAGAATATGGAACAATTATAGATTAATGTAGTATTTGCGTGTTTATATAGTATGGTAAGCCTATCTAATCAAACTTAAGTAGACAGATCAGATTTCCTTATGAATGGATTTGTTTGTCTTTGATAATCTATTTATATTGTTAAATATTATGATAAATTTCACTTTAGTTGTTATTTTCATAAACAAAATTAATCATACTTAATCTAGAAATAATCCAAAGTTAGATAGCATGTAATATGAATCATATCAAAATCACTGAATTGAAATATGAGTTAAATGTATACAAATAATATTATAAGATCTTATAATGGATACACCCTGAATTAAATCTAACTATTGATAATCTCTCTCATTATGTAAAAAGCCAAAAGGGATAACAAAGAAATAACTATTGTTTTTATTACTTAATACAAGTTTGCCATTCCGAAAAGGCCTATACATTGGTATACTATAACAAAATATTTCCAAAGTAAATCCCTCTAGAATATATATATAAACCTGAAGACTTTCTCCACCACCGAGATTATTTATCAAAACATGGTCATTTTACAATTGATTACTAGATGGTCAAAAAGAAAGGTTTTTCATTGACAATCATGTTGGGTTTTTTTTTCAAAGTATTATCTAAGTTGTACAAATTAAAAATAAACATATTCACTAAAATTTATAATTCAGCATTATCATATGGCCAAATCTTGAAATAGGTTATATTTGCTTATGTAAGTTCCATTTGATAATTTTCTTTTTCAATAAAAAGAAAACGTGATTCCATGCAAAGTAACTTTCATGAAGGACAAGTTCATGAGGTAAAAATAGTAAATTAACGGAATGGCATAATACTGACGTGATCAAACTTGTTTATTTGTAGCAAACGGTTAAATGGGTTAATTCGTTGTATTATTTAAACTTGTGTTAATTTAAATCACAACATTTATGCCTCCAAATATTGCTAACCAAAGTTATCGCCTCGAAATGCGGTGGTACAACTGAGGGTGGGGAGAGTCAGTTCTCCCTCTCCATATGCTCTAACATATAAACGTGCATACAACTACTGCCAGGGAAGTCCTACCCACTTCCTTCTCGCGGCAGCGGTGTTGTTTACGAAATTGAGAGGATGAAATGCGAATGCGTCGCACTTTAACCAAGTTGATGTATATGTAAGATCCACCTAGAAAAGTTGATGCACATGGGCTCCAGGATCCTGAGAGAACAAAATGGCATATGAACCTATTGTTGGTCACCGACTACCATGGGACTGCATCACCTAACGTTGCAGTACGACAGCCCACATACATATCAAGTGACTTATGTGGCGCATATGTATTTGGTGCCCCTTTGTACCAATGTTTATGTGTTCAAATAAATAAATAAATAAATAGAATCTAGTTCCAACCTTAATACACAATAAAAAGATTAAAGAAATGAAAGATTATAATCATTTAATATGATGAACAGATTATTAAGATAGAAATAAAGTATTAATGGTCATAGAATTGTGATGCATTGATGATGTAATCATGATCTTTAGAACAAACATTGAACTAAATCTAATGTTTTTCACTTTTTATGTCATTGGTTTTCATTCGAAAAAAAAAAGATATTATCATAAAACTATAACTTTTAAATGATAGAAATCGTAAGTGTATCATTAAAACAAACAAACAAACAAACAAAACTATGGTCTATTTACTAATATCTTCGGTGTAAACAGCTTAGGCAGTATGAAGACTTTTGTTTAAATCATTGCTCAATACCATATTCAATGACAATTTTTACAGGTTACAACAACTTAACAATTGAAATGATTTTAAGCTAATCTTGACCTAAAAACAAAAGACAATTGTAGTGATGAACTTGACTAAAAAAGAGGAGGTTTCGTTTTCCAGCTGATGTCAGTTGATAATGGAAATTACTTTTCAATGTTTATTATTTTATGGTCAATGTCTATATATATATGAAAGACATTCCTGTATACGACGTAGTAATAATTAACTAGTTAAAATGCTGATAAAATCAATTAACCATGATCAGTAATAAAAATACTGATTGTATATTTCTTAAGATACTTTTGAATACTTTCATAATATCTGCTTCGATAAAAAGCAATTAAAATAAATTCCTTTATAAAGTTAAACAATCCTATTAAAGTACTGTTTAATGAAAAACGTTAGATCACCACTAAAAGCCTGGAAGCACTGAATGGCCGTTTCGTCCTAGTATGGGACTCATACGTAGTGCACATTCACGATCTCGCACGAAGGGTTCGAAACTACGTCCTTCGGTCTAACACGCGAACGCCTAACCTCTAGACCAGTAAGCCGGTCGGCATCCAATTCATGAAATTGCGTGACTATCTTCCATTACCTGAGGTAGATACTTGTCACTACCTGACATGGATTAGCTCGAATCCCGTGTTTGGGATCGTAAATGCACATTACTGAAGAGTCCCATAATAGGATGAAACAGCCATCCAGTGCTTCCAGGCTTTAAATCGTAATCTAACATCAATCAATTCATCTTCGTAATCGAAACTTAACAATTTCCACAATCCTACACTGGAAAAAACTTATTTAACTGCCTATGCATACACGCAAAATAATTTCCGTCATAAATTCATTTGAGTTATCCTTGTAAGCATGCATTAAATTAATATACTATTCATATATATGCATCCTGATCAACATTTTGTAAAACAAAAAAATTTTTACACTTCCTGTTATGATTATAACAATCACTATTTAGAATGATTATAGGCATCCCTGGAATTGAGAAATAAATAATATTGACTAGTTTTTTTTTCTTTTTAAAAATTCTTTTGTTTTATTTCATTTAACACATTTGCTTTTTCTTCTTTTTTTTTGTTTGCTGTTGTTGTTGTCAACTAGTTATCCTAAAGTTAGTCAGGAAGACAAAATCAAAAGTAAAAATCTTTTTGAAAAAAAAAAAATTAAAAATGGAAAATAAGTCAAGCAAATAAATATTAATAAAAGAATGAAATTAGAATGATGAATATAATTATGTTTAATTTAACACTGACTTATTTTGTAACAACAATACAAGTGACGGATGAATGAATGAGAGAAATGAATAAACACAAGCAAAAGCAAAAAACAACAACAACAACAACGGGAAAAACAACCGAAAGTTGACGATTAGGAGAGAGAGAAATTCGATTTCATTTCAATAACCACAATTAATATTGACAATTTATTTTAAACATTTTTGATTTTAAGTAAAATTCTTGTTATTTCTTTTATATAATTATTTCATATTAACCATTTATTATATATTAAAAAAGAGGTGGATCCTTTAAAGTTTATACTACTCTAGAATGTACCCTGGTAGAAGGAGTAATATGTGGTAACACTTAGAAATACTTTGTACTATAAAATCAAATTTTAAAATCATTAACTTTTAACGTGATTGCAATTAGTTATATTAGTCAAGATAATAAGAGAGGAGTGATTTTAGAACTATTCCATAATTGGTAAAGTCATTAATCTAGGGATTCAAAATATTATTGAATAACTCTGCCATAAATATAAAACCAGTGACTTTATATCGAGTAAAATTACTATTTAACATTTAACCAACAAATGCTTGATAATAATTACATTATGAAATTTGTCTATTGGGATACTATCGTCAACAAATTTTGCAACTTTTGGTTTGGAACAATGTTCTTAAACGCGTCTTTATGTAAGTTTACAGCAAAATATGTGTCCGTGAAATGATACCTTGTTGAGTGCCACATACCTGAAGAGGTAATGTTTGCTGATGTACAAGTGAGTTATAAAAAATACAAAAGGTGTCAAAACCCCAATGTCGTATCAGTCTAAGAATTGGTTGACTGTTGGTCTACGTCATGGTGACAGATGCAGATTACCTAACTGGGGTTCGCAATATAATCTCGATTAGTTATTGGAGAACTAGATATATCTGTTTTTTGTTACTGTAAGTTTAAAGTTTCATTATTCATTTATAAAAATATTTTCATACAACCAGATCCTTTGATAACTGTAAACAGAGCAAAAACAACAAGGTTCACAGAATAAAATGAATTCATTCTATTTCACGGTTTCTCATCCGCTGAATACAACCTTAAATCACAATTACTAATAAAAATATAATTATTAACAAATGTTTAGCATACTTTAGTTTGTGAAGTTTAGATGAATGTTCGAAAAGTAACCAAAATCATAATAATCAGAAGAAGTATGAATAAACAAAGTCAAGATCGATGTGTATTTATATGTTGGGAAGTAATAATTACGAGATTATGTAAAAGTAATGAAATTAATGAGTGATTGAATAATCTCTCTACATGATAAAATAGACAAGTATGTGATCATCAGTCATATTATGTAAGAGATGAATATCAGAAGACGAAAGAATAATAAAAGTTTGGGGACAGATTTGAAAAATTGTTTTAAGATTAACAAAGATTATCAGACAAGTATCCAACCACCATGACAGAGAAAGGCTTATCAAACTTTCCTTTTGTATACATAAGTTAGGTCGGTAACCTTGGATAGTCATTGCTACTGCACAACGTAGTAATATTGATGTATTTTGTCTGTTGATTATTTTGAATGCATCTCTTACTTTCACCTCGTGTCCACTATCAAGATATCCGGTGATTCCAATTGTAAAGACTCTAATTCATTTTGGAGACCTTTCTTTCTGTCCTCTTTAAGTACTTGCCACCGCAGGTATATGTGAATTCATAAAAGTAATAAGTGGTCTCAGAAGGGTATTGATCTACCTTTGAGTGGTACAGAAAACACTTGGTATTGTATAATGAAGCCAAATGAACAGCGAGGAAGTTTTTTACAGTGCCACAGTGACTCTCATCCATTTTTCTTGACATCTCACCTCCCTCTTGATCAGAAGGCGCATAAAAACGGTTTTCTCGCTAACAATCGATGGTTTATCACCCTTGAGATGTTCTTTTCCATATTTTGTAATACATTTCCTCAGGTATTCATTTTTTATGAGATGCTTCTCCAGAATAGCCAATTCTTCATTTATTTTGCCATTTCAGTATAACATTCTAAATCTAATGAAGAGCGTTTTGACTAGACATCTTTTGTAACTGATGGGACAAAAACTGTTACAGTTCAAGTACTGTCCTGTTCATGCTCCTTTCATATATATATATATATATATACTTTTCTCAAGACTTCCATCAATTTTTTCCGTCTTATACAAAGATCTAAAAAATTGAATTGGTTATCTCTTTCTTATTTTATTGTAAACGTTATGTTAGAATGAGAGTTGTTAAAGTGACTAAGTAACTGAGAAGCGTAGTCCATTTCGTCACAGATAATGAACGTATCATCAACATAGCTGGTTTAGTACGTTGTGTTCTAATACACACTTCTTATCCCTATTCTTCTGATTATGATTTTAGTTACGCTTCAAACATTTATTTAAACTTCACAAACTAAAGCATGCTAAACATTTGTTAATAATTATATTTTTATTAGTAATTGTGATTTAAGGTTGTATTCAGCGGATGAGAAACCGTGAAATAGAATGAATTCATTTTATTCTGTGAACCTTGTTGTTTTTTATCTGTTTAAAAAGTGCTTCATCCTGTTTCCACTTCATTATTATGATATCTTCACCATTCACCTTATTAACTTCACGTCGTTATGCTGTCATTAAGTAGCAATTACGATCAACGCACATTTATACTAAACTATATATTTATTATAACTGACTAGAAGCTTCATTTGTCCATGTAAACTGATTTAATTATTCTTTGCAAATATAACAGTTTCAACTTTTAATTCGTCATGACATAAATGAAATTTATCTATAGATGTTGTAAATATTTTGGACGATACAGAATTTAAATACAGAACAATAAAATAAAATTGTGGTGAGACTTTAATTTATGGATGACCTTTGAGCGACGCTGAAGTGACTTTGAGAATGGATACCTGATGATTAGGACTAAATGAGGGTTATAAACTAGTTAGGGTTAAAAATTTAATTTAGGGTCTTCATCACGAACTGACACCATCTATAATGCCAAAATATGCGATTCATTATCTTATATTTGATTGGTTCGTCCATGAACTATAATCCCATCGAAATTGCTATAAAAATCTCAATTTTGATTATAACCTAGACGAAAGGTAAGTAATATCAATAAAAAAGAATTAAATTTCAAATAAATTTTTTTCAATAACTTACTTTATAAAACCAGAATAAGAAATTAATTTTCTTAATAATCTTAATGCCGTAAAAGCTGACATATTTTGAAAACTGTAATCTGATACACTTAGAATTCGATCACCAGCAGTAGGAATACGTAAATGATCATCATTTATACAAGAAGTATCTGAAGGTTTAGAATAGTCTGAATCAGTTTGAATATAATTCATAGATTTGTGTTTATTCCAATATTTCAAACGATCTACTGGACTTCCAGGAGTAATATGTGCAAGTTTTATACCTCTTTCATCTCCACTTTCTAATTCCAGTTCTAAACCTAAAAAATATAGTCCAAAATATATTTTTAAGGAAAATACACTACGCTAAGAATATGTAGGTTTGTTTTATTATACTAAAATCACATATATTTACAGTTTCATAAAACAAGGTTATATTTCATGCTTTTGCTATTTGTTCGAATGTCAAGACTCTCTTATTTAAATAATGTAAATTGTACAAAACATTTTCTTAAATCAGGTTTTTTCCATAAATCAATCGATTATGTAACTTTAAAATATACTCTTACGACTTTATGGTGATGAAACAATTACTAATTAGTAGAGCATTTATCATTTAGATTCTATTTCATTAAGGTTTCATGATGTCATATAGCTGTAAGAAAGTAGTTATTTCACAATTGAAACATTCGACTTAAAATCACCGTAAACAATTTCATTTGGTGGTTTAAAGATAAGATTTAAGGATTAGTGCTGAGTATCACGAAAGCATATTCAAAGGATTCTTGGCATTCATATTCAATCACCTAATAGTATTTTAGATACATTTTGACGTTCGGAATCCAAAACGGAAACTTTATGATACATCAAAAACGTTTTCGAATCAAATAGAATACGTGGTTAATAACAAGAGATACGACCGGATAACCAAATTTTTGTGTTTCACTGCAAACATATATTACACCTAAGCAACCATCTGCAGAATTATCAAAGAAAATCCAGACAAACACATGCAGTTACAGAATTAAATCTTATAAAACATCACCATTACCTGCAAATTTTTACAAAAACTACATAATTTTTTTTCATTTAACAGTATACTATACAAATACTGACTATCTGAAGTCAGTCAGTTACAACGTGGGACCAGGCACATATGTGCATCGGTTCAAGTTTCCATACCTCATTAAAATAACAAGATGAACACCGGATTCATAGGAATGGTTAAGTCAATGGTGGTTATATATAAAAGAAAGATTGCATATAAGAACATAGTATGGGAAGAAAGAATTAGTTCGTAGAAAGAAAGATATGAAGTGATTTTAATCTCTTAGTTTAAGGGAAGATGGAGAGTGTATACACCAACGTCATTGTGATCGATTCTGAGCCATGTCATCAAGAGTCTTCAACCATTGGTTACGATAGTCACGCGGACCCCAATCAAGTAGTCTGCATCTATCAACATGGCTCAGACTAGAAGTTAGTGTCTTCAAGTACTGAGTGGAAAACACCGTGACCTGAGAGCTTGTCGACATAAGTTTCTTATTCCTAAGTTATGAGCATCAACGACACTGCCTGTGATAAAACTATCCACATCCATAGAAGAAAATGATACTCTTAGATTACTAGAATTCATAAAAATTTATGTAAATTACAGTCACAATATCACATATAAGACAAATAATTATTAAGAACTCAAAACTTAGTTCTATTAATTTATTGTTTACACCTTACCAAGTATTTCACCGGCTTTTTTCAAAACTTTAACAGTTAACACATTATCATCATTTCGATTGGTTATTTCATTCGGCTGAATCAGATTAGTATGGTCTGGATTATTATTTTCAGAAATTAAATCGGATACTTGAGACGGTAATTTTTCCATGGATTTCACTAATTTAACAGCCATTGGTAGACGTTGTAGTGGACTTATTAGTGTCGATTCGATAGGTTTTTGATCATGCATTATTAGGTTATTCTTATCGATTTCTGGTTTAATATCTTCGTTTATCTAAAATAAATGCGCGTACATTTTTACAAAATAAAGATATTAACTACGTAAAGCAAACAAATGAATAGTTGATGGAGTAATTACCCATAAGCAACACAGTTGATATTTTATATGGTAAAACTTAAGAATTATAGTTTCGATTAAGTATGAAGCTTGATCTGACCAGAATAGTAAAGTGAAATGGGACAATATCGATAATTCGTATGCAATCAGTCTTTAAAAATGGTTTGTTTGAAGGGAACCAATTAACCTCAAGCCCTGTGACCTATAAAGAAGAAATGATATTCAAATATTTACATCGAAGTTCTACTAAACTTATTCTGACAACCTTTCACTTGAGCTGCAAAATGTTTCTTTTCTAAAATTCTGGTAAATATGTCCGTGAACTTTAACTAACTCGTAACTCTAAAAGTAAAATAAAACGACAGAGTTAAGAGTATAAAAAAATGCTAGACTATAATCGCCACAAAAAGTACGAAACGAGATCCTTATTACCAATATGATAAACTGCGAATGAGAAGTCATCCAAAATATTTCGTTAAACACTTGTCGACGTTGTTAATTTCGTACTAAATCTGATAGCACATATTTTTATATACATATTTGTACATATTTTCCCTAACATTATATATTTTTGGACGTGCTAGTGTAATATAGAAGAAGTAGTGTACAATATCATGATGTACATTTAACCATTTACCGAAAATCATTAACGAATATCTGTTTAAAACCATGTTAATAATTCTGAAATCCCATTTCATTTAGTGAATATCTTAACTAGAACAGTGGAATTTTGTATAGCAAATGTATAAAAAGTATTAATCAATAGATTTTAATATTGAAATGACGATATTAATTCGATTCAGTTAAAACCTGCTTGATTAGAGAATGGGCTGTTAAACATCAACAAACCAAAGCACATTTGAAATTTATATAGTTAGCATCTAACTACTGAATAGAGTTTAAAGTAGCTCAACTAACTACAGTAATTTAGTAATCATTAATATATCAACCAAGAGTTTCGTTCATAACAAAAAATAATAAATGGTCTAAATTTCTATTCTTACGACTAAGTAAGATTGAAAATAATCTCATTTTACAGTGAAGATCCCACAAAATATAAATAAAGTGTGATGATTTGGTAAATGAAGTTAAATATAAACTAGCACGACTTTATTTCCATGTTAATAAATTATTCGACTGTGCATCGAGAAATCTTTAAAACCAACAAATTAAGAGAACAATCTGAACGATTTTGTTGAGAACTCCACTAGTTAAATGGATAAAAGTAAAATACTACTAATATTGGTTATATATCGTTACAAATTCATATTGATCATGAAACACTGACAAAATCAAGTATCAAGTTAAAAAATACCATTTTATCAGTTGGAATATCTTCACTCTGGAATTCAAGACTGGAGCTTTTATTCTGCAGAGCAGAATTAGTAATCGTCAATAGTTTTATTGGATATCGACTTTCATCAATATCAGATCCAGAATGTTGATCAATTCCTTCTTCACTGTTCGGTGGTGCTAGGGATATGTTATTTTTAAATCCTGAATTGCTTTCATCGAAAACATTATTATCCAAAATCTGCTCATTGAAATCAACATTAGGAATCTCACCATCACTTAGAGTTCGGGTGAAGAAAACAACACTGGCTAATTCATCACTTCCATTTTCTACTTTGATATCAATTTGAGATTTATTTTGATAACGAGCACATATTAAATATCCTTCAGCAGGAATAGTAGGAAAAATACTGGAGATCTCTAAATGATCTTTGTTAACGATAACAACATCATTAATCTGAAGTATATAAGACATATGTAGTTATATTATTAAAACGTAAAAAAAATAAATGTAATATACTATGATTTTAGATGATAACTAATTGTTGGTTTGTAGAAGAAAACTAAAATGCTGAGATATTCCAATCTACAAGATTACAGCTTTTCAATAACTTTCTGGTTTTTAATGGTCCCACTGTCAATATCAATTTGTAAAAAAAATAAGCTTCGATCTGAAATAAACAATCCAAAACTTTTGAATAAAACATTAGTGATTGGGTTTGAGATGAATTCCGAAAATTCTAGTAAAATGTCATGTTTTGTAAAGTTTAATCACCTTAGGAATATAACAGATATCATCAAAGGCAATGAATGTCGTACACACAATGTTACAAATTAACTGAAGTTATGATTCAGTAGCCTAGAAGATTAAATAATGACTTTGAAACCCAATGATTGTCAATTCTTCCTTTAGCGAGCTTGTAGTGTGGGTACTATCAAGAAGTTTCATAGTAGGTTCTCTTTCTTAATCGTTGAGATCATGAATCAATTGAAGCTAGATCACTAAGAAAAACCCGGAAGCACTAGATAGCTGTTTCGTCCTAGTATGGACTTTTCAGCAGTGAAAACTAAATCATATTAGATACAACTTTCAAAACACAAAGTAAACATATCCATTTGTACCAAAAAACTGATGACAAAAGTTCATGTATTTTAATGTTTAACAATTGAATAATTTAGTGAGGGAAAAGAACATCATTATAGAAAGATATACAGTTGAACAAAGTGAAATTAACCAGTATCTTATTAATAAACATGGTTTCTATTCAGTAACAAATATCTAGAAACTTCAATAATAACTAATGTAATTCAATAAAACAGTATTATTTATTGTGAGAAGATAAATAATTACTCAAAATCATCGCAAACAAATCAATTAGAAAATCTAAAAAAAACAAGCCTTATCAAGTTAGAAAGACAATTTTCAGATTTTAACTAATGAAGAAACGACATCAATGTTAACTGATTACCTAAACAGACTGTTGGAATGAGTTAAAATCGAGAACTGAAAACGATAAATAACTAGGTTATCAAAATCAAAACTCCCAATGAAGAAATTATTAGAATAAAATAACTGACTTGATCCTTTTGTCAACACTTTTTGACAATTCCTTATGAGAAGTGGAATAGTTTCGATATACTCTGAATGTTTATTATTTAAAATGCATCGAAATCAATAATCTAATACTCCATATTCTCAAACGCTTAGAAATCAGGCTTATGAATGAGATCCTATCTTTTATCGGTTGTTTCATAATTAAAATGTATTCATAATACAGGGTGAATATTATACTTAATCTTTCAAATTTATTCGCTACGATGACTTCTAGTTTGCCTACCCACCTTAGCCATCTTGAAAACAATTTTTTTTTAAATTTTGCTCATACACTTCAAATCAATTTTATAAATCCACTCTGTGAACTTTGTAATAATGAGATAGATTGTTTTAATTATAAAGAAAATGAATTCATTCACATTTATCATAACAAGTAGAGAAAACTAACTTCAAGTAACTCATCTCCAATAGATAAGGTTCCATCTTTGCCAATAGGTCCTTCAGAATTAATTTCCATTATATAATGACGATGTTGATTTTTACCAAATATTTCGTCATCTTCTACAGTATCCCCAATGCCAATACCCAAACCACAATTTGAATTTTTGATATCATAATATACTAACTACAAAAACATAAGTCTATAGTTAAATAATGCTATACATGTGTTGACGGAACATTGGAAGACATCGGAAAAAGTCTGTATAAACATGATACAACAGTTTGTTTTTGAGCTAAAGATACCACCAGATTGACATTGGTGAAAGTAAAGGATAGGATACCATGAGAGAAATAAAAAGAATGTGTCCCAAATTGAGTATCATGAGCATAATACGTTGTGTGTGGGATAAATATCCACACAGTTAATAATGTGGGTGAACAGGGAGCACAAACAATATTTGGAAAATTTCTGAAATCATCAGACTAAGTCAAGAAACTTGAAAGTAAATCGACAATAGCACTACCTCTATCAAAATGGGACGTAGGATAAACTTTGAACGCATGAAAATACTTCAGAAAGGTCTCGGCTCTCATAAAGTAACACTGACAGCTGAAGCTTGGGTGAAGAAGAACATGATCAACAGAAGAGGTGGATACGATTAGCTACTCTATGGCAACCGTTGATTGACTAACAAATACATAGACCTCAACTGTAGAACTTATGGTTAAAAGAATTATGATGCATAGCTCATAATTCCAACTATGCAGATATGTTTAAAGTACAAAGGGTGAATTAAACATCTTCTCTAAATTCTATATCCCTCAATCCCCATTCGACATCTTTATGCATTTTGCTAATTTTATTTTAACTGATTACCTGAAAGTGGAATGTTTAAATGGTGTTTCAATTTGTACATCAGTAGTGTTCAATATTAACTTCCCTCTTATCGAGGTATTATTCATTACAAAGCTCTTGTCACATGAAATTAATAGTTTTTGGAAGAACATCTGGACCTGTCTGGATAACTTGTATTTTGTTCAAACACTACAAAACAATCAAGGTTATTTATTAAGTCTTCTTCTATGATATTTTTAACGCTCGTCATCTAGTTGTATGTCTCAGATGTTACTAATGTTTCTGTTACAGAGAAATCAATGAAGTAACTTTCGTATTGTGATAAATATCGTAAACTCTTGTGATAAAATAATGCTACATATCAATATCTTTGTATCATGGTTTCATATATATAAATGTAAAAAAAGAAGCCGTTTATTATGAGGTATATACATGGTTATATAAATTAACTGGTGTATAACTGTCATAATAATACCAACGATAATAATATAGTTTCTTACCAATAATTCAACATCAGGATTGAATACATCTAGCCACTTTTTCAACAAACTTTTATCATTACTATCTGTCTCATTCATACATTCGTCATCTATCAGAGGAAAAATCAAATAAATAATGTGATATATATAAAGGTAAGCAAAAAGGAACTGAAAAAATTAATCTTATTAGCTGATGAAGAATTTGAAGCTTGATACATACTCAAAAATAGTTGTCTACTAAGGTCGCATTGTTAGCGAGTTTTTTTTATGGTTTTGTAATAAGATATTAGACTATTTATTGAAAAACTGGGTAGACAGTAAAATTTTCTACGGATATCACGAATGATAAGATGAAAATCAATCATAGAAAGCTTACTAAGCACATTCAAAATTATTACAGGGAATATATCTTCATTCAGGTACCTGATTAATTTGTAATCAAAGTTAGTCATGATAATTAAAACACACTTTCATTATTTCTTTGTTTCTAGATTTAATACTTAAAAAACAATTCTCGTTAATTGTACATCAGAAGAAGTCAACTAACTGTTATGGTTTCTTTCATGGAACGTTGAAACTATAAAATCACATTTTACAAGATTCTTGATAATAAATTGGTGTAATAATAATGAAATTAATAATGAATATATCACAACTACAATATTGCGATATTATCCGGTAATCTGATGAAATATTTTAAACATACAAATTCCAATTGACAATAACTTGGTCGATAGAATTCGATCTGCACTAAAAGGATCTAACATACATGATATTAATCACCAATCAGTGATCAGTCAATTGTAAATACATTTCAGTCGTACAGGAAGTCAGTCGCGACCCGGACAGTCCAGTGGTAACGTCTCTGACTGTGAAGCTGGGTGACATGGGATCGAACCCGTCAGAGAGCATCAGTCCTCTCAAGAATAATACAGGTAAACCTTGCTGATGAGTGCCAAGTAGCACGACACCTAAGTTCAAGGTTTCCTGTTGGCTACTTTTTAATCAACATGAAATAATTTACCTATTGGATCATGTTATTCTTTCATGTTTCATAATTGAAACCAGAACAAAATATTTAAAAAATTACACATGAATGTATAATACAATAATAAGTAATATTTTTACATTGAATTTAAATAACAATAACTTTTTTACCAGGTTGATTGAATTTACAATTATAAAATAAGACAGAATCATCTTGAGAATCATATATAGATGTATCTGAATTATTCATTGTCGGTGTTGGTGTCCGAGTTAAAACACTTTTCACATCAATACTAATATTATTAACATCTTCATTATTCAATATAGGGTCATGTAGATTATTGTCTTCAGGTTGTTCTTTTTTATCATCACAAGATGATATCACTATAAAAACAATGATAAAGGAAGTTTATAATATTTGGTTAGTTATTACAATGTCCAATGTATTACCTTCGGAGAAATCATTTTAACCAAATAATTCTTATGGTATCTCAGAAAGAAAAAAAATACTTTAAGAGACCATGAGTTATCCTCTAGCCTTACAAGATGCTTAAAGTTAATGACATTTTTCTAATCATTCATTCAAAACGGAATCATGATGAGTTATTCTGATTTTATCATCGCTGGTTTATCAATAATTTAATGCACACTGATATAAATGGTAATATATGACAAATGAGGATATCACGTGTAATATTACTTTTAAAAATATAAGAGTCGTTACTTATTGATATGCTAACCATATACTGAATACTTCATTTGCAAATTCCCATCAATTGTCCTTCACATTCTGTATGTTTCTTCAAATTCACATTTTATTTTTATTTTCCCTTCTATTTTCTTCAACTCAATCTTTATAGTCTTCTGGGAGAGACTATAATTTATGGACGAACCAGTCACGCATAAAATAACAGGTCTCGGATTTTAGCACAAAATTCACTCATACATTTAGTTAAATAGAGTCTTGGCATTATGGCTGATGTCAGTTCGTGATGAAATCCCTAAATCTAATTCCTAACCTTAACCATCAACTGTAAATCATAATTCGAATCACTCACACTAATTTCTAATCCTCATTTGCCCCTAGTTATCAGGTGGACACTCTCAATATCAGTCTAGTGTCGCTCAAAGGCTATCCATAAATTACAGTCTCACCGTCTTCTGCTGCCAGGTTTTCCACTTCCGAATACTGTTAAATACTACTTATGTCTATTGACATAAGTAGCATACACCACAGCATCAGTTATAAACATAGAATTATTAAACATAGTATATAACTCAAAATTTACAATTAATATATAACACTAATTAAATTAAATAAAACTAATTATTAGACTAGACATTTAAAACAACAAAGGAATTTAATCATTAAAATGATCAAACTAAAGATAGTCAATTCCAATTAAGGAATTTCAAATAATTAATATTTACATTTAGAAATTAACGATTCATTTAATTGAATTAATAAACAAAATAAGAATTAAAATAAACCCAACTTACAATGATTCTCATCATGATTATTATTAATTTGATTATTTCTTGAACATTTAATTTGTACATATTTCGTGTTACGACATATACTTTTAACTTTTTTCAAAGCTTGTTTACCTTCTAATCCTTCAAGATTTTGATAATTCACCTAGAACAATAATTAAGAAAGAAAATTTTAGCAAAAAAGAAAAGAAAAAAAGACAATTATGATGTGTATTACAAATTAATAAAAGTTTATTTTCAAACAAGTTAGATAAATTATTTTATTGATTTATTTAAACACATAAACATAGGTACAAGGAGGCACCAAATATGCATGCACCACATAAATCGGATGATTTATGTGAGGGCTGAGATATTGTCCGAGTTCCCAAATCGAAGCAGGTGGTTTTCTTACGGGAAAAAACCCCTAGCATCTGACCTAAAGGTCTAATCCACAAGCCAGTGGAGCAACGTCAAGAGATGCAGTCCCAAGGTTGCCGGCGACCAACGACTAGTTCATACGTCATTTACTCCCTCAGGAGCTCATATGTACCATTGGTTCAGAAGCAGGGTTTTCCAACTTCCCTAGGTGGATCCTCCATATCCACCAACCCGGTTAAAGTGCCGGACATTCGCTTTTCGTTCTCTTAATTTCGTAAACAACACCTCCCGACACGAGAAGGCAGTGAGTAGGAATTTTGTGGCAGTGGTTGTATGCACATGGCCACTTGAGAGCATATGGAGAGGAAGAGCTGAATTTACCACTCTTGACCGTGCCAGAGCATTTATGGGCTTAGGTAAATTATAATGAATTAATCATTGTGATCATTAATTATGTACAAATTACTTCTTGAGTGTAGTTAATTTAATTATCATTTTTTAAGCAATAATTTATTTTCAGAAAGGGATTTTAGGGAGATTGTAGTAATTTTAATAGTTGGATTCATGAGTCAATCTGAGTTAGATCACCATAGAAAACCTGGAAGCACTAGATGGTCATTTCGTTCTAGTGTGAGACTCCTTAGCAATGCGCATCCACGGTGGTTCAATTTCGTGGGTTTGTTGAAGTTAGATATTTACCCCGTTGGATGCTGACCGGCTCAATGGTCTAGAGGTTAAGCACTCGCGCGCGAGACCGAAGTTCATGAATGCGCACTACTGAGGAGTTTTATACTAGGAAAAAATGGCCATCTATTGCTTCCAGGTTTTTCATGGTGGTCTGGCTTTAATTGACTCATAAACTCAACTATTAGGGAATTTATTTATATATTTACTGATTTTAATTTTGTCGCTAATGTGTACTAAATAGATTTCTTAAAAATAAATGGTTGATATCAATCAGCTAATGTACTGAAATCAATCCACTTGAAAGTGTCTAAATTTCATAAAATGTTATTTGATCTTCAAATCTGAATTAGTATTTTATGAACAAATATTCTAAACAGGTATATTGATTTTATTCCACATTGAATGACAGATTTCCTTTTAATTCAATATTCCCACATCGAATTGTCACCTGTATTAGTTATTATCTGAAAATTGTATGACATAATGGAATAATACATTTACACTTTTATTTCCTCCACTGAACATGGTTTCGGAAATTGTCCCATGTTACATTTCTCAGATATTTCATAAGTATCAAACATTGCAAAACTTATTCAGGATGGCATATTATAATTATGAAATCAGTTTCTCTGTTTATGAAACAGACTACACAATTTATAGACTAATTGTTCAATCAATCATTGTGAACTGCGATCTCTTCAGGGTGTATACAATCACTCTTAGAGTGTAAGGTAAGTTTAACTTTGAACAAGTACTGTAATTTATTAAACCACTGTGGGATCAAACAACTTCAAAGAACTTTTAAGCGTGTTTTTTCTGAATTTTTTATAAAGAAAAATCTGTGTTTTCAAACTTCACCAATTGAGCTTTCAATATGACGTTTTCATAAATAATTTTGATCACAATAATAGTAATCTGTTATTTGTTAAATTGTACTAATCATTAATTATTCTTTTAAACAAAATTACCTCAATTACACGATCACCTTCTTTTAAAACACCATCTCTTTCAGCCTGACTATTTTTGAATATAGATACAATGTGAATTCCTGTATTATCTGTTAGATTTATTAAAAAGTAACAACACAATAAACAATCATTCAGTCATCTTAGAAGATTACAGACGAAAATAACTTTATCAGTATGTAATATTCGTCAGTTCTCAGATATCCCCGCTGACTGTGTAATGGAATTCAATTCTTACTAAAATATTATGAGTAAAAATGAATATTTTACTGTAGTTAATCAATAATGATAAGTCACAGTCTAGTGTAACGATATATTTCACTTCAATAAAAATCTATAATTTACGCCCAGGGTTATTTTGTACTTTGAATGATGTAACATCTATTTAACGAAAAGCTATATTACCAGAGAACAGTTCCTAATTGTATTTGTAAAATCTCAGCGAATGAATTTGAAGCTAATCCAACGTTTCGTCTAGCAATCTGGTCCGAGCTGAGATTTTATATATACATTTTTCTTTAATGTCTCACATCAACTGGACGCCCAAATACTGTCAAACTATTCGATCAAATTTAGACGAAAGTTCTCCTTTAATAATAAATCCTTATAATTCCTCTTCAATAATTTGTCAGATGGAGATTCAATATTAATTAACTCTCATCATTATAATGGTAATTAGTTTCTGGTAGAATCATAAAGCATTCCAGTTTATCACAAAATAATATTCATGAACACTTCACAATCATATTACATCATACCTTGATTGAATCCTATTTGTAGACCAAGTCCATTGTCATTACCATCATTTTCAAGAACTGTTTCATAACAACTGAATGAACTGTTATTCTCTGTTGTCTGCAACTTGAGAAAACAGTAAGCTTGACAAAACTGTTGAATTTAAAATGGTTTTTATAAACTTATTTAAAACACTTAATTACTTACAACTTTTTGTCAAAAAGTTTCTATAAATATTTTTAAAATCAAAATCCACTTGATGTTGTTTACTTGTAACTTTCCATTGTTGTTTAGGACTGCAGTTGATCAGTCTCTTGTTGGAATATGTGCATCCTGTGAGTGCTGCCTCGATATTGCCTTAAGTCACAAGCTTCATAACCAGAGATGGAGACTGGTCAATTGCAGTTCTAAACAACAATGGGATGATACAAGTAAACAACATCAAGTGAATTTAAAACTTCACCGCATTGCACAAGCAAGTGACTATCAGGACTCAGTAGCTAAGTGGATAAGGTGATGGCGTTTGAAGCGAACAGTACTGGGTTCGAGTGCCATAGTGAACATGAACTCTGAGATGCAAGTACTTCCAGATGACAAGACCCAAGTAGGACGAAATGCGCGTCCTGGATTCCACGGCTGACCACTATCCATCTTTGCTTATAAAATCGAAATCTTTTGACATCCCAATACTTTGTCACAAAATTATATGATCAAAATGAACTGCCTTTTGTGTTACTACATTTATATGAAGCAAAATTCAAATGGTTTTTGGAAATCAGTAAGTAGATTGCTTTGGTTATTTATGCCACGATAGCCTGAATAGTAATTTTAGGAATTGTGATTGTCTATGGATTATTTGATTAGGCACCATTTTGAAAATTAAGTATGAATTAAACTTACTGGTAATTCATTTGTCTCGTTATTAGCTATTTGATTGGACCACAATGAATTTGACTTTGGATATCGAAAGATGACAAGAACTGGTGGTTTAAAATTTGTTAAACTAGTTTGTTCGCTAGGAACTTTATAAACACTACTATTTCTATTATAATTATGATCGCGGGAAATCCCAGTGTTCTGATAGGGCCTATTAAGTAGATAGTTTGCTAAATCGTAAATATTTGAATTTGGTGCCAATCCATCCAGTTCAATTAGCTTGTATCTTAATTGTTCTAATGTATGCCAGTCTAATGGGTAACCTGATATTGAATATATACGATCTCCCATATGCAAATCCATTGCACTGTGATAATAAATAAACAAAACATACACACAAATATAAATCTCTTGTCTTATAGCTCAACTTTTAATTCTTTTGAAAGCATTTTGAAGTATATATATGTATATATACTGGTAAAGAAAAAAGAGAACTCTTCTTTTAAGCACACAAAACAAAAATGCAAGTCAGATTATATTTAGTTGATTTGGGAGGCTTATTAAAACACTTCAAACCCTTTTATTTATGAATCGCATGAAACATACAGTATAAGGCACATCATATACATATAGTACAATCAGTTGAACGGGTAACAGTCTTTGCTACAGCTTTCCAAATTCGCACATTATATGCTAAAGTAAAGGGGTTCGTAAACTTAAACTAGGCGAGTAACCATATGTTTTTCACTTGAACTAAATATACAGCAATCTAATATTGACGTCCTCATGACAATGTTTGGAGTCATCACAATTGACAAAATGTCTAGATAAATAACGTAATTATTAAATTTATTCAAATGTAAATTTCTAATTACTGCTTCATACTTGGAAATCATTTTGGTAAATAGTCTAACAGAAATCGTTGAATGTGTTTGCGTTAATAAAGACCATGTGTAATACTAAAAATGGGTATTAATTTGTAGAATAACTTGCTTAAAGCCAAAGGCACACTCCTGTTAACCTTTAGAAAATTATCATAATCGATTCCACTGCAAAACGAAATCTTCAATTGTTACCGATTTTATTGATTCACAACCATAACAGGCTATATATTAGAACTTTCGTCTAAATTTGATCGAGTAGTTTCACAGTATTTGAGCGCCGAGTTGATGTGAGAGATAAATGGAGGAGAATGCATTTTTAAAATCTTAGCGAATGAATTTGAAGTAAATCCAACTTTTCACCTGGCAATCTAGTTCAAGTTTTTTTAAGGAATTGTAATCAAACATCAAAATTATCGAATATCTTACCTTCCTCATTAATGTCACAAGATTACTTAATAATTACTGTCTTCAAAGTGCTTACTTTGAGGAACTGTACACAGTCATATGTAATATTTAGGACAATATGATGAAGACTGTCTTAATGACTGAAATCAACGTTTCATCGTTAAGAGTGATAGCTGAATATCACTACAACCTATAAACCAAGTAAATAGGTTATATTTATTCATCCATATCTAATTGTGATCACTTCTTGTTCTTCTTACAAAATAGTGATTTTTTATTAATGGTGGCTATGATCCGATGTATGAGAAGCTAACACATCTAACTGTAGTGCAGAAGGTAAATATTTACTATTTATGTAGCACTGACCCTCTTGACCTTTAGTTAAAACAAAATTAAAGACGCATTAACCAATTTTGAAATACCACTGTAAATCAGCTAATTAAAAATTATGAATAAAATGGTATCTCTCACTTTCTTATCCTAAACTATCTAGGGCTATCAACTGGTCTAGATACTAGACTTGCTTCATTATTAACAATCCAGCACCATTATAGAACATCTCTTAGAGCCTAGTGCACTGAGCTAATGTGATCACTGAGTTTTATTATGTTTTTAAGAAAATCTTTAAATTTTATCCTGTTTGTGATGCTCCTTTAATTTGCTGTCAAATAATCGACCAATGAAAAACATCTTATGTCATATTTATGTATATTGTGATAGAAAGAGAATTTAGTAATTCAAATTAACAAGATGAAGACTGAACTGAAAAAGTCAATACTGAGTTGGAATTCTAAAAATATACAATAGTTATGTATGATTAATAGAAGGCTTTGAATTTAAGCTTTCAATTTATTGACAATTAATAAGACATGTCTGAAACCCTGCTGAAAATTACGGCATCTAAAGAATTTTACTATTGAAATACGGGAAAAGCAAACCACCTTATTCGAATCAAACAACTACACTATAGTTACAGGTAAACCTTACTGATGAATGGGTTGACTGATGGTATAAGTTCAATTTATATAGCAGCTGTGTGATGATTCTATACAGACAAATAATATAAAGCATTCGGAAAGATAAAATAGTAATATATTCAACTATTATATTAGATAGCAATCGGAAAAGACAGTCTTGACTATTTTGTATCAAATCTACACATATAAGAATATAGGATAACAATTACTCAACATTTATATACATATATCAGTCGTTAATATTCACAATAATTCAACAAATCACATTGTCCAACATAAGGTGCATTGACTCCGCTTAATTATTGATTATACTAGAAAAATAATTAAGTAAACAATCTATCAACCAACTGCAGCCATCTCAACACACGCACATATAAAGAGGTACACAAAATATCACACCTATTCTTTATATGTTTGTTTTTTTCAATGTAATGTAAGTTAGTTCTAAAGGACAGAATAATAAACAACATAATCTTTGTGATGACAGCAACAAACAGTCATTCTCGAACTTTTGTTAAATCAAAAATATAAACAAACAAAATAATTGTAAGAATTACATAATGAGTGAATTAATCAATGCAATCATGTGGTTTATATGAACAGTTACTAAATAATATAACAAAACAAAGTAAAAAAAAGCGACAATTGGTACTAAGTACATAATCGGATTATATAAACACTTGTTAATAAAATAGTTTGCACAGAATAATTACAATACAACTAAGAGGATGATCATACTTTTTCATTCCTCAATCAAAGTATGATATCCAACTTTTATTGAACATTTTTTCTGTTCACTTAATTTGTCTATTCTGTATACAAGAGTGTAATTTTCACTGGGGACATCATTTTAATCATCTAAAACTATGAACATATATCCTCTGTGGACATGCATCTAGACTTGATTCATTAAAAAGTAAATAAAATGAAATGTGAAGCTTGAAATGCAATCATCAGTGGTAATTATGCTCTTGTATGAAGTACTTATTTAGCAAATGAATAAAAAAAGGCTAAATATTGCACAAACATTAAAAAGTGCACAGATATGTATTTTATCCCTAATACACTTTACAAGGCGACTATCGTAACCAATGGTTGGAAACTCTTGATGACATGGCTCAGAATCGATCACAATGATGTAGATGTATACACTCTCTGTCTTCCTTTAAAATTGTTTCATATCTTTCTTTCTTCCTGTACTATGTTCTTATATGCAATATTTCTTTTGTATATTACCATCACCGACTTAACCATTCCTATGAATCCGGTGTTCATCTTGCTGTTCAAATGAAGTATGGCAACCTGAACCGATGCATATATGTGCGTGGTCCTACGTTGTAGCTGACTGACTGACAATTTACAAAACAAAATGAATTCATAATTTTAATTCATGGTGTTTCATCACCTGTAAACAGTTTAAAATTACAAGGAGTTGATGAAGTTGATATGGATTTTCTAATTAGAACTAAAAATTCTAATAAAAAAAATACAATGCACAATGGGATTAAACATAAATAAGAATGACACTTCTAAATAGGTGTTCTTTTAATTTAAATATTACACAGAACAAAACTCATTCGTTACATTTATTCACCAATAACTAAGTACAGATTTGTTTACTCATAAATGAACTAAACATTTTATAAATAAACTAAGATAGTTGTAATATCCCATTGAGTAAAAAAATTAAATTTTCTGATGTTTCGTGATTCAGTGTAAGTTACTTCTTTAGAGAATAAATAACCAAATCATTGAAATATTACAAGTATGTAAATTTATTTATAACAATCTATCCAATACCTAATTTATTCGAAATTATCAAGTCAAACCATGGTAATAGTACCGATATGCATATTTTATGTAAGAGTTAGTAATATCAATCAATGACTCAAACCAAACTAAGTGAATTTTAAACCTATAAGCCATGTTGATGAAAGTTTACATTATAAACATCATCATCATCATCAAAATTATGAATTAGAAGTTTCAGAAGTTAAACTTAAGTTCTTTCATTTATCTGATATAATACATAGTATATTGGTTATTTCAGTATATTAAATGTTTATTATTAAATATCCAAAAAAAGATACCATTCACTAAAGGTACTAAATTTCTCAAATTTACTACTTCTAAAATTCATGTACATACTTTTAAGTAGTATAGTAATATAATTTATTATCATTAAAATACATACAATCAACAGTTTATTAAATTTGATAATGAATTACATTTTTTTTTTGAAATTGTATCAAATTACAAAATGTAAAGTTATATTTATTACTTTAGTTGTATAAGGTAAACAAACTTATAATGGTGATTAGTGAGTATGACCTTAACAACATTCTCTATCATTAATCTAATGATTAAAATCAATTAAAAATTTACGAAGATATATATTTATTATATCCATTTCACATTTATAAATATTCTTCATTGACTAAATCAATAAATGATTTACAAACAAATAAACAAACAAAAACAACTGAAAAACTTTATTCTAATTGTTATGTCCTTAGCTAGATGATTAGCGCGAATTACGATTGCCAATTTAGATACACTGATTTATACGACCCAACTTAGGATGCATAAACCAGTACGAGCAGCCTAAAGTTCTGATTAGTCTCTTTTCCTGGCTAGGCCTTCTTCTTAAGTCCAGAACGTCAATATCAACTTCCGAGATACCAATCATATATTTCAAGCATACTTGGTTTATATACAAGTAAAATCAGACCACATCACAGCATAAAATAGAGAACAACATTTGTACATAATCAAGCCAAAAGTGGCTGTGATTGTAAGGAAATATTATTTATAAATTGGGAATATCTCAAGAATAAATCGTATGATATTAATCAAAAAGTCAAGTAAAAGCTTATCAGTCAGTCAGTCAGCTACAACGTAGGACCACGCACATATATGCATCGGTTCAAGTTGCCATACTTCATTTGAACAGCAAAATGAACACCGAATTCATAGGAATGGTTAAGTCAATGGTGGTAATATACAAAAGAAATATTGCATATAAGAACATAGTATAGGAAGAAAGAATTAGTTCATAGAAAGAAAAATATGAAGTGATTTTAATCTCTTAGTTTAAGGGAAGAGAGAGAGTATATACACCTACATCATTGTGATCGATTCTGAGCCATGTCATCAAGAGTCTTCAACAATTGGTTACGATAGTCACGCGGACCCCAATCAAGTAGTCTGCATCTACCAACATGGCTCAGACTAGAAGTTAGTGTCTTCAAGCACTGATGCCACGTTTTGGTTTGGCCGCCCCTAACTTTCTTCCAACCATCTCCAACACTTGTCAGCATTGCACGTTCAGGCATACGTAGCACGTGGCCCAAACATTTCAGTCGATGAAGATTCACAACCCTATCAACTGATTTATCATCATTCCCCAATACCCTAAGTCTAACCTGACTATTACTTACCCCGTGATCCCAGCAGATGCGAGCAATATTTCTAGAACATCTGTGATCAAATACTACCAACTTACGACTATCTTCTACTGCTAATGGCCATGTTTCGCAGTCGTAAAGTAGAACAGAACAAACTGCTGAGCAGTATACTCGTCCTTTTATTGATAGACGGGTATCTCGCCTTCGCCATAGGTGACGTAAGTTGGCAAAAGCCAAACGAGCTTTCTGAATGTGTACAGAGATTTCGTCAGACATCAACCCATTGGGGCTGATCAGGCGTCCAAGACAAATGAAGTTATCGACGCGTTTGATTACTTTACTCCCTAACCTTAGTGCAGGTGTTGACGCAGACCAGTCCTGAAGCAACAACTTGCATTTAGAGGGAGAGAAGCGCATTCCAAACATTCTGGCATTGTTGCTTAGTGCTATCAGAACACTCTGCATTTTATCAGTGTTTCCACAAAACAGGACTATGTCATCTACGTATTCTAAGTCGATAGGTGGACCTCCTGGAAGGAGATCAATACCCGAGAATTAAGTCAACGAGAATGTTATTGCTACCTTGATGTGGTGGTCGGGCTTGCCTATCGTGATGACCCAACCGAGCTATACTGGCTGGAACAACCGTTCCTCAAGGTCCTACCATGTCAGACAAGTCGGTTGAAGAGCGGTAAGACTAAAAGCAACAAACTCAAGGTCCAAAGGCGAAGTCGTACTGTCGACTGTACAGATGTGTGACAGCAGTAAAGTGTTCCCTTCAGACAACCAGCGCGACAGCGGTGCTGCCTTCCCACAAGGAGAGGTGAGGTTAGAAAAGGTCGACCCTAAAAATGCACACCTCGCCTTATCCCACGGATATCCGTCTCCGGCGATAAGGTCGCAACAAGTACGGAGCTAACACAAACATTACTCATAAAAAGGTTTTGTGTGACCGGCCTCAAACAGTTGTCCTTTGAGCACTGCAGTCAAGCTCTCAGGTCACCAAGAACACCTCTATTCCGATTTCCTTTTTAGGTACCTCTAGAAGAACCCTTTCACGGTGTGGGCAACCGGGAAGTGATAAACGCCCTCATACATCTAACAGCACTCAAGACCACTGTATTCATAAAAGCTTATAATGAAAGGAATATGAATATACATAAAATACAGTTACTCAATATTCATACAATAGAAATATACGTATAATATTAATCCATAAGTAATTCCCAACGATTACTATTCATTTATTCTCGTCCGGATATAACACATATCTTGATTGATTATAATAACTGAAATTAAATATTGTTAACATATTTAAACAATAAACTGAAACCATTGAAAGCGACTAATTGATTATTGTTAGTCTTTTAAATAAGTTATCATTCTGTTATGTAATTGGCAACATTCAAATTATACAATAAACTAAAATAAACATAAGAAATTATTTATTACGCAGTAATCAACTAATGTAAATTATATGATCAGATAGATGAAGGTAAAACAGTATCTAGATTTGTAAGATATAATGGATGGTAAAATTACTTAGTTATTAAAATTCAACGAAGATACCTTATTCAACTTCTAGAAGAATCATTATGGTTACAACGGACATTAACAGTTTGTAATGTAACAACCAATGAGAACAGATATTTATGGTTGTTATATATCATATTAGGTAAGACGTATTTCGGATAACTCATACGGAGTGAGTTTTTCCTAAAATATTATTGTTCAAAAGATAAATTCTTGATTCTTCCATCTCCTTCTGCTAAACAAAACTGACTTAACACTAAATACCATTAAGAACAACTAATACAGTGATTTTATTGTTTATTTGAAACGATAAAATAAAAATAAATTTTTAGTATGCAAGTAGATGAGAAGTTAATTACAGTAAAATAATGCTTACTTGCTTGCTGGACTGCCATGTTCTACTCCTGAAACAAATAAATTTTCTACTTCCCCTTTAATGACTGCTTGTCGAAGAACAATACCTGACCTTCGATATCCAAATCGAGGTTGATAATCAGGCAACTGGATAGTGAATATACCTGTACCGTGCGGTAAATGTAAGCCAGTGATTCTTTTTTTAAGTTGATCCATTGAAAATGGAGGTAAACCTGTTTGAACTTCATTGATGTTTGCATAAGGTATATAACTATCCAACTCGTCCTAAAATGAGCAGAACATTGTTGTGTAAAAAATCTTTGAAATTGATTTATATGATATAAATCTGTTTGACTGTAAATTAAAAGAATATATTTTAGCCAAAGTATTAGGTAAAAACTTATATAAAAAAATTAAAATGAATCAAGGTGGATTTTCAGTTTCCATCATTGTCATGTGTTTATAATACGGAAATGACAGTGAAAGGGGAACTTTAAAATGCACGCCTTTTGCAAGAAAAAGCAAATAATTATGGCTTATGAAATATTGTCTTTTAATCTGAGGTTATTGATATAAAATGTTTACATGATATGTCAGTAAGTAAATATCATTTGCAACATCTATTTCAAGCAGTAAAATGGTTAGATTAAGATATCTTCTGAAGTTATTTGATATCTTAAACTGATATCAGTTGGACAACTCTTGAAAATCAGGTATAACTGGACAAGCGCTTTAACTCATCATGACGCTTTTAGTGTCCTTTCGACTTTATTATGTAAAATGAAGTATTTATTTGTAAATTATGTATTTTGTCACTCAATTAGACTAAGCTACAGGTAATAAATTGAAGACTCCAGTTACTAAAATATCTATACGGTTATTGGTATAATTATTGGTAACCCTAAAAGTCTTTTAGTGCACGTTACGTATATTGCTTATAGCTCAGTAATATTCTCCAATTTAACAGAATTTCAAGATCTTATCTTTGAGACAGAAAACTGAGCATCATTATCAGCCACCTAAAACCTAATTTATCTACTCATAGTACACTGTACTGATATGACAATTTTCATTTTTAACATTACGCTCTTGCTTAAGACGCATGTTATTTTTCTCATATCCTCAACTTTAGGATCTGTTTTAGATAAAGTCTCATAATCCAAGCTTTGAAAATTTAGTAAATCAGACAATCTAAAGTTTCAGTCTGTCTTCTGATGATGGCAATACAAGTCGTGTCCCCAAACACTTTCCTTACTCCTTGGCCTCTCAATTTCTTTTTATCTGTGTAATAACCTTCTACTTATTCATTAGCTAGTCAAATTTATAAATTTTGTGCATTATGTTCACTAACTTGGGTCTTTATTATCCTAGAAATATATTTTCTAATACCTAGACAAATAATTTTCCCGGTAACTTTGTGCATTTAGTATTCCTAAATATTTACAGTATTATTTATTTTGTAGTTTGCTAGATATATATCATGAAATTAGTAAGCCCATGTGATCCTGATAAAATTTCATTTGTTTGCTTACTTCATGATGCAGGAAAAAAGGACAATACAAAATATAGATTAATTCCCTGTGAGACGCGATAACAAATTCCAGAGGAAGCATCAAATCCCTTAAATTGAAAATAATCGTGTTTAAGAGTACCAACTAGCTGACCATCTTCAATCAAGTGGCAGTAAGTAGTCATATTAGCTTAAATCCAAATCTTCCCAATCTTACACACAAATTAAGACCATACCGATGTTCATTTAACATTAAACGGACTTTTTCCTTCTATGTGTTGTTTTAAACTTTAATAGCCAGTTGAAGATCCTCCTACCACACCATAAGTCGAAAGGCTAAACTACTGCAGTAAATCGTTAGGTATAAGATATATTTTCGAGACGAGAAGAGGTATTTCTAATTATTTACTATTCCGGCCTACTGGTCAAGGAAGTAGTTTTCACCATAAATGTTCTGCAACAAAAGGCAGCCAAGAATTGAGGAAGTTACTAACCCGTAGTATCTGACAATGACCAATTTCAGAGGATATTTTTTCAATAATCATTCAGATTACCATTGAGTAACTAAATACTTAAAATTGATATTCTGATAGAAATAAAAGCAAAACCTCAAAGTTGTTGCATCAGTACGCAATATTTCTAATTTGTTCATCTGCATGTATTAGAAAGTATAAATTAACGTGTATTGCACAGCAGTACCTCCAATAACTTTACTAGATGAATTTAGAGTAGTTGAGGTAACTTGATGACTAAGTGCAAGCTCATTTATTTGGACTGGAATTAAAATTTTCATACTTGGGATAGTGGTAACACGAGAGTACAAGAACCTATGTAGATGGATCCAAACTTGGAATAGTACTCAGTATGCCTCCGCTTTATGCTGTATATTAGGGTAACCGAATAGGTATTAAACAAGTTTCGTAACTGAAAAGGTATTTATATTTTTATCTGTAAAAAGTGAATATGTTAAGAGACTCCAACAAGTTTGAAATATGACATTAGAGTAATAGTCATTGAATTTATTTTGCTAGTAACCAGAAAACGTATGCATAACAACACTAAACTGGGCATGCAGATGTAGCAGAACTTCTGCTTTAGGGCAACAAAGATAGCGAAGTGATTCTATTTGTAGTTCATGAGCAAACTTCAAGAAAGCGATGGCTATACGTACATAAAATTTTAGGGACTAACGACGAAAACGAAATTCATTAAATGACGTCCCAAAAAGCCGGTAGATGGACACCACAGGTGAATTCAACAAACAAATATTACTTAAAGTAACGAAATACATGTCTTGATAACTAGGATATTTTTGGAATAATGTTGGTCGGCCTGTTATGCTCGACGTTAAACCTGACAAATATGTGGGTAAGTTCAAGTTCCCATGGCTAAACAACTATGTTTTAATAAGAACGAAATTTGGGGAAATAAACATGAGGTTCTGTAATGTTAAATGGTGAGAATTTTGAAGAAAATAAAATCAGTCCACTTTTTTTAGCTTGATCTCAAGAAACAATGAAAAGTCCGGTTAAATTGACTATTTTAACGAGCATGTTTCCAAATTCAAACCTTATTTTCCGCAATAGATTTCACCGAAGCTTTGAAAAAGCTCGACTTTTTTGAGACCCTTCTCGATGTCGACGGACAAAAGTATAAAACTCACCTAGATCAACAAGACTTTATATTAACCTTAACTGTGTCTTCATCACCTAGTAGTATATGTAAGTTGATCCAAATTTAATACTTTAAATTTTCATAATCTAATGACAATTATTTAAATATTATAGCAGCACACAGACTGGTTATCTGATAATTTTTGTATTCTTACCAAAATAGAAGGACGATTAACAATGTTTACAATATCATAACATCTGACCAATAACTCGGATTGTAACATAGAATATACATGTTCAGCCAAACGGTTCAGAGAAAAGTTTCCTTTACTTTTTGATTCTTGAACCAATTTCAGCACAGAAGATCTTACTATCTCTACCATAAAACCATGAAATATGTTTGATGGAAATTACCGAAATCCATCGTACGTTATACACAGCGCTGGTTAGTATAGCTTTGAGTGAGCAAGGTAGAAGGCAGCTTAAACAAGAAATGGTGAGAAGTGACTTGCACTCCTTGGTCACTAGCATTTATCTGCCTCTTACTAACTTGCTTCGTGAAGTACTTTCAAACAATATAAATTCTTCAGACTATCGAATCTCTAAAACAGGTAGTATTCAAAACCTATTGCTTTTTTGATTAATTAGTGTAGACCAGTTGATCTATTGTACACCCTGTTACATGTCTTAGCACTGTTCACTATAAGTTGTCTTGCAAAAAATAACACAGTTATAATGTTTACTAGCGTCGTCTGTCTTTTTGAAGTACTTTAAGAACTCATACAGTTTATGCCTATTGAGTTATTTTCGTCTTCTTAATAACTCTATCGTCCCCATTAGTCATTACAACATATCGCATATGCACATACCCTAATTTTTTGCTTGTTAGTTTTATAGTTGAGCGTCTTTTATTGTGCTTGTAGGGTCAGTGAAACATCACTCAGCCCTAGCCAAATCATCAGACGGTCGGGTCACCGATTGTTGAACAGTCCACCGATCCTCCTCAGTGATAAGGTCAATCAACATGCATCAGTTATCTACACGCCATATGCAGTATTGGTCATAATATGTTCCTTGTTCCTGCTCAAACTAATATGTTTCCGTAATAACCTCGTTTGTGTAATCAAATTAGCCATATTAATTAGATAAGATGAAATGGTGATCCGTGTTAGGTACCAACCGTGAGGTGTGACTTTTGAGTCAGCTGGTCGGTCACATCATTCACTCAAATAGGCCCTAAATCTTTCGACATAGATAATCTACGTTGATGATCTATATACTTGTGAGTGCCTATAGATTTACTTATCCTACACAATATACATTACTTTACTTGCGTTATTTAGTGTGTGATTAGAATTGTACAAACACTTATGGTTTTGCACGTTTCTTATTACCGATTCGTGTTTGTTCATTTGTTTTCACTGATGGATGTGTGAAACGCATGTGTTTGAAGAAACTATGGTACTTAATTTTTGCCATTATATCACTAATCAATATGATGAAGTCAGTGAAAATAATTTAGAATTTCACATAATCCTTCATTGTTGTTACTGATTTGAGGTGAGTATTACCACGAAATTTAAGCCACTGAGCTGCTGTACTCTTAGTGAGTCTCACAATTATTTGGAGGCTAATATTTTTTGTTCTTTCATATTTGGTATAAGGAGAAGATAATCGTCGGAAGTGAAAAACTTTTATATGCACATACTGCGAACAAAGGTGGAGGAATAATAAATAAAAAGGAGGTGGAAATCAGTGAAGCGGGCAGAAAATGATGGGAATAATAATATTTATAATTTACGGAAGATACATCAGTCACAGCTAATACATATGAAAAACGGCAAGGCACAGATAAGCACACAATTGTTAAGTTTCCTCCTGAGACTATCCACTGAAGAGGTTGTAGTGTGGGGTCGAGTCCCAATTGACTATGAACACCGCCAGAGAGAAACGCGTGCCAAATGACTCCATAAAATCCCCGAGAAGCCAAATATCAGAAGGCAGTTAATGGACCAAGTCGAGATATATTTGCTAGCGATCTCGTGGTATGGGAAGGATACCGAGATCGTGCCAGGATACAAGCTTGAATACAGAACGAAACCGAATTCACGCGAAGTCACAATCAAAGGAGAAAACAACCTTGGTAAAGAAACGCTAACTTTAACAAACAAATTAAACCATTTAAACTCTACATAAGAAGTTGAAGGATCTTTATGCAAAAAAATTGTGAAACCTCATGGTGAAATCCGAGATCGTTAGACAGTCAAGAAGACGATTTCACTTCTAACAACCGAACCAGCAATTATTATAGATATGTATGGATTTCGGACAATTTGGGAGACCAAGAAGACCAATGAAATAGCTGCTGAAATGAGGAGGTACAAATTGACAGTGCTCAGAATAGGTGAAAACCTTTGTACACAATCTGGACAGTGATGGATAGATTAGGGAGAGATTCTGCTGTACTCCGGTAATGAGGAGGAAAATGCTCCACACACTCTAAGAGTTGATCCCATGATATTCAAAGAGGCACGTGAAGCACTTGTAGGATGGGAATCCCATCGACCAAGAATCATCAAACACCTTTCAAAGCAAAGAAGGGAGAATCAAAACGAATATTATCCGATGTTGTGCACCTATCAATGATAGTGGCGACGACGATAAAGATCAGTTTTATGAGTGGATGTAATCAACCATGGCAAAGTGCTCAGCGAAAGACCTGATCACCGTGATGAGAGACCTAAATACCAAAACCTGAATGGACAACACCGGGTTTGCAAATATCATTGGAAGGATATGGACTTGCAAAAAGGAACGAAAATAGGGAGAAATTTGTAAATCCATGTGCATCCAGCAACCTGGTTATAGGCTTTACAATATTTCCCCACAAAAGCACGCACATAGTTACATGGATCTCACCGGATTACACTACAGGAAACCAGATCAATCATATTTGTATCACTAAAAATATCTGAAGGTCTGTAGAACTTATGGTCTACTATGATATTAGTACTGCTCTAATAATAGACCTAATCCTAAATTTGTAGATTTGTCATGATATGACTGCCTAATCTATAAGATCTTACGTGGAAGTCACACCATCGACTACACCAACTCACTGTATCGTATCAATTACCAATACATGATGTAGAACAAGGTTAGGCTAGAGAAAGAACAATATATTTAGTATGAATAGAAGATATGAGGTAACATTCAGCAGAGACCACGCCTGCATGGCCGAGCCATGCCGTTCGATCAACTCTAGTCTATTCAATTCATTATTCGCGCCTTCTCCATCGTTAGGTATTTCTTCGCGTTAAATATTGAATACCTATTTTCCGAGTAATCTCGTATTCAGCTTTGAGGATAGTGTGGTTATGGTCCAATGCCACTACACTACTCTCCCACCAGAATCAACGTGGTGTTGGTTCGATACCCAATTGGATGGGACTGTAGTGTGCCGAAGGTTACCAAGAATAGTAAGATTCCTCCGGGTGATGACAAGCTGAAAGATAAATCAAAAAGAAGACGGCAGCATCTGGTCGGGAAATACATGTAATAATTTTAAAATATCTGCCTTCATGCTTAACACGCTTACAATGAAAATTTGAGTGATTATTTGAGCTATAAAAAAATGGGATTACAATAATAATAATAGTAATAATAAAACGATGCGTGTGTAATAGCCGTTGGTTGATAACTTAACGTATAGGTAGTAAGTATTTTGTGTTTGAAAATATTAAAGTTATGAATATTGTAGAAATGTTAATATTAGTACTACTTTTAGTCTAACTTATGAAATCAAATAACGATTATGCCGGTAAGTTGTCCATATGAGTCGATTTCCAATTGCATCTGTATTAGTAGGCTAACTGAAGGAACAAAAGTACTACCGTGGAGAAGAATTCCAACTAGTGTTCCAGCTAGTTTGATACGGTTTGTTTAGTTACGGGGAGATTTTCTCAACCTCATTTTTACTTGACCGTGATAGAATTTATTAATACTACTAATACACATGAATGGTTATCAAAACAAAATTTAAATACGTGAGTGGTAATTATGTGAATTTTGGACAGATAGCTAGCAACAAATCGTTAAACATGAGTGTATTCTTAAGAGACATGCTCTAGACTCAATGTTCTGATCTGCGGCAGACTATTTATTTATATCTATACTTGCCAGCTGATTGGGTATACAAGTTAGTTGAAAGTATGCAGTTTATCATAAGGCGGAATACGATTTAATTGAGATATAGTGGTTATACGTTATTGAAATTAGTTAAACCTATGTGTCATATTACTAAGTGATGTGGTGCTGCAAGGTGTATTTGGCTAAATAATTTTTTTACAAGATGATTAATAGTGAGTGATGCTCATGTGATTATCAGGGAGAACATAAGTTGTAACCAAGGGGAGTGCACTCCCAACTCATGCCTATGATAATAGCTTGAACCTTAGTCAGTGTTGGGGTAAATTCGACATTGATGTTTTCAGTTTGCAGGATATTTGCTCGACTGCTTATACTGATTATTTGCATGCATGATTGTGTCGCTAAACCATCAATTAGACTGACAAAGTTTTGAGATATTTACTGAATGAGCAACTGATAGAGAAACATACTGTAATCATCTGTAGTGAATGAAGAAAAACAACACTAGTGATAATTATAAGTCAATTTGCTGACCTATTTTGTTAATAGTTTCATTAATTTTATCAATCATATTACGTGATTGTCAAGTCATGACAATGCTTTATGAAGATATCCTGAAACTATTATGTTTAATTAGTTATAGTGTTGATTGAAGATTGGCTAGTGGAAAAATAGGCATTGTTGTTTTAGGTGATTCAAAATTATCAGAAATTTATAACGTTAAAGAATCCGAGACGCCTAATTTAATTATAACTTTCAATTCAGAAATATTTGTTTAATGTTAATTCTAGTAGGCTACGGAGTTTTGATTTTAAAAGTTTGTTCAACCAACAACTACCTGAGGATTTAGTAATTTTACTAGTGCAGTTGATAGTACCTAAATTTTTAATCTTATTATCTAAATTATTTTTGCATTTTAGACTGATAATATGATAAACCAATCCATAAATCCAAATAGGATTAGCAACAACGACTATGGTGGGTTTATTAATAAATGTTAAAGGCGATCCAGATGATTTCTAAATTTAGAAGACATGGAGATATAGTGTAACGTATGTATGAACCAGGTTAACATGCAGGTTGTTGACGTATATGACGATTTAAAAATAATGAACATGACCAGACAAGTAATTTTAAAGTTTAGACTGCTTGTGAAACTTTAGGCAGGAATATGATGCGTTATAAACATTCTATAAGAAGTTACTGCATTTAGCCTAAAGATAATTATAAATATGTGGCAAACGCAACTGGAAAACATATACATGTTAAGTACAG